ATTTATTTATTTGGCCATTTATTTTTAAACTAGAGGCCCAATGAATGAAGATTTGTGCAAGAATAGGCCTTACTTCCCCTGGCTGCCAGCACCCGCTTCCCTCTGGCACCTGGGACCCAGGCCTTCGCTCTGGCTGCGGCCTTCCACCTTCCCTCCAGGCCAGAGCTGCCTCCCACCCACTCAGGCTGGTTCTGTAGCCACCAGCCAGAGGCCGGCCCTCAGCAGCCAGCCGGGGCTTTCGGGAGGCTTGGCTTCCTTCATCGCTAAGGTGATGAAGGAAGCCAAGCATTCTGCCCAAAAGAAGCCAAGCATCCCCCCAGCTCCGGCCAGCTCCGTGGCTATGGGCGCCACCATCTTTGTCGTGGAGTGATGGTTAATTTTCATATTACCCTTGTATTAGTATAGATCAGTGATGGCGAACCTTTTGAGCTCAGCGTGTCAGCATTTTGAAAAACTCTAACTTAACTCTGGTGCCGTGTCACATAGAGAAATTTTTTGATATTTGCAACCATAGTAAAACAAAGACTTATATTTTTGATATTTATATTATATATTTAAATGACACTTAACAAAGAAAAATCAACCAAAAAATGAGTTCACATGTCACCTCTGACACGCGTGTCATAGGTTCGCCATCACTGGTATAGATGGCCAGTGTGCGTCACGACAGCTCCTGCATTGAGCATCTTCCCCCTGGTGGTGAGTGCACATCATAGCTACTGGTTGGACGGATGGACACTTAGCCTTTTATATGTATAGATTGAGTGACAAGGTATGCTTCCAAACCACTGAATGCCGATGGGTGCTGGAGAACCACTAACAGCCACAACCTTATGTGGCACTGATGTCCCTTTAGTAAGAAATCAACCAGCTGCTGACGGGTTTGAGAACAAACCCCTTTACCAGTGCAGGTCCTCCAGGAAGGAGACGTTGATGTGGAGTCAGGAGTGTCAGGAGAGGGCAAACAATGAGAGAAAGTGCTGGGGATGCAATCAAAATGAGCTGAAGAGAGAAAAGGAACATCTAGACCAAAGTAGTGCAGGTAAACAAAGCAGAAAACCCCAGAAAGCTAGTCACCATATTTTTAAATTTAATGATGTATTTTACTCAAGCCACTATATTCAAAATAATATAATTTAAACATGAAATCAATATTAATTAGATCATTTACTTTTTTTGGCTAGTCATCACATTTTTAAAAATATGTTTTTATTGATTTCAAAGAGGAAGGGAGAGGGAGAGAGAGAGAGAATCATCAATGATGAGAAAGAATCATTGATTGGCAGCCTCCTGCACACCCCCTACTGGGGATTGAGCCTGCAAGCTGGGCATGTACCTTTGACAGATTGAACCCGGGACTCTTCAATCCACAGGTCGACGCTCTATCCACGGAGCCAAACTGGCTAGGGCAAGTCACCACATGTAACACCACATATAACAAGGAGCTCTGTGCCATCTCTGACTCTTCCACATCACTCTCCCACCTTTTCTAAATCCTCGCCTGAGGATATGTTTTTATTGATTTTGAGAGAGAGAGAGAGAGAGAGAGAGAGAGAGAGAGAGAGAGAGAGAAAATATCAACACAACATATAACATAATATTCACAGATTCCAGGGTTGGGATGCAGACATGTTTGGGGGACCATTATTCTGTGTATCACAATGGATTTCTCAAAAAAATTTAACTAGTAAATAGCTGGCAGGAGCTAGAAAATATTAGGGAGGTATGCATCTCCACACCTGCTACTTCCTTCCCGAGGGAACTCGCTAACTGTAATTGCTGATTCTCTCTGCTCAGAGATGGACTGATTTATCTAGTGGTAAATTTGAGAGGAACAGATTGAGCTTGAATGGCTCAGAACCCCCCTTCCTCCTTTTGGGAGTGAGATGCTTATAGGAAGCACTAGGTTCACTGCTCCCCAGGGCCAGCCCTGGAAGGAGGGTTAGGGTGAGCCTTACCCTAAACCTGGGCTTTCCTTCGTAGGGGCTCAATATCTCTTTGGGCCAATGGACCTACAGCCACGTCAGAAGATTTGGTGATATCAGTAAGAAAGGTGACATTTTGGCCCCATGTCCCAGCTTTCTTATTTCTCAAACTGTTCAGAGTCCAGGTACAAAAGAGAAGTACCTTTGTTGAGACTCCAGCACAGACCTCAAGAGGACACAGCTAATTCCTGTGATGCAATTTATTTCCCCAGGATGTCCCATTTCTCCATAAGTGGTTTTTGAGGATAGCGTTTATGTCGGAAACAGTATATAGCCTGGTGATGAAGAGTGAGGGTGTGTATTGTGACAGCCAGGGTTCAAATGGTGACTCCACCACTTACATATTGTGCCTCCATTTCCTACCTGTAAAATGGGAATGTTAATGCCTACTTGATAGAGTTGTTGTGAGTAGTGAGATCATAGAAGTCAAGCACTTAGAAGAGAGCCTTTACCACAGTGCACGTTGTAAGCATTCAATGCATGCTCTGTATTGTAATCCTTATACCAAGTCGTGCCCCATGTTGTATATGGCACAGAAATACTAAAACAGTGTATTTTAATCAAATAAAACAGGGTTCTCTGCAGCAGGGACAATGGCTTACCCACTTACTTAGCATGGAACAGAGCTTATTGCATGTTTGCTGTGTGAAGAAATAAAATGGGAAATGAAGTTGAAAACTAAGGTAAGAAAATCATTCTGCCACATGACACAATTTGTTTTACTAAACCTAACAGCGAATAATAGGACTTAATTTCCACTTGGTCAGAAATTCAAACAAATATATGGGTTGGTTTTTTTAAGTAATGGCAAATGCATTCTGTCTGATTTTGCATCAGAAACTGTATTCCAAGGATAATCTCAAAGCATTTCCCTATTGCCCGATGCAATCATGAGGCATTTGCTGCCCTCTCGTGGAATCAATTGCATATTGCACATAAAGGTGACATCTTAGTCAACTAAGTGACTTAGCTTCTTAAAAAATAAAACAATTTTCCTACTCAAATATTTTTTTCGAAATACTCATACATATTCAAAAAATGTCTCAAAGTTTGCATTAATATCTCAAGTAACAAATGTATTTGCATTCATAATCTAGACTCTGGGAAATCAGTCATATTAAGTACAATGTTTCACTTTTTAAATTTTGCATCAATTGTAATAAACTGCAAAATAAATAGACTTAAAAATTGAAGCTAAAAAAGTCACAAGTGAATAATGCCATTTTAAATTCTAACAAGTCTCAAAGGTAGTTCAGTTCCACTACTACTGAAATATGTGTGGTTAATCCCTCTGGCTTGTAACTTCAGTTTTCAATTCAATTTACATTGCCAGCGTTCTGCAGAGGAATCAGAGTCCTCAATGCAACCTAAATATTTTTTCTGAGCATCTAGAATGTGCAAAAGTTGGGAACAAGAAGGTAGGTGCAGTATAACAAAATTAAAAAGACATGATCTCTGCATGTAAAGGGAAAGGTTCTTGGGCATATATATATACCACTAAGTAAAATGGAAAGCAAACAATCAGAATATTATGGTACAAATTTGAAGACATACTAGTAGGAGTTTTAAGGGAAGGTTTACTCCAGGAAAGCTTCCTAAAGTAAGTGGTAAATGAATGGGGTCTTGAAGGATGAATGGATAAACCTTTAACAAAAATAAGCAAGGAAAAGTTACCTTAGATCAGATGGAAAAGGTGAACTAATAATACACATGAGTAAAAAGTACAGATTGAATTTAGAAAAGCTGACTAGTCAGGAATGGCGGCAGTGGCAGGTGTATGCAGAAATAAAGGCCAGTTACCAATCCTAGAGGACTTAAATACCATCCAAGAAATATGGACTTCGATCTATCTGCCTTGAACAATTACTGAACATTTTACAAGAGGTTACGATAAGATCCACATTTTTAAAAAAAAAAAAATTGTTGCAGTTCAGAAGACACATTGAAAAGGGGAAAACCTGAAGTTAAGATCTGTTTGAATGCCACGACAGTGGCCCAGGCAGCAGAATCTGAGCTTTAGCTGTAATGATGACAATAGAGAAAAAGATACCGATATGTTTCAGAAAGAAAGCCAAAGTCATTCAACAGAGGATTGATGCAAGTGTGGGGTAAGAGAGAGGAATGAAAACAGGAGGGAATTAAGACTCGGACTCTCGAGTCTCAGCAACCAGAATGATTTTGAAGCCGGGAAGGAAGAGATCACAGAGGAGACAGGTTTTCTTTAGTTCCCATATGTTGTCTAGTTGCCAGATATGGTTAACATACAAAGTTGTTCCAGTATCCACCTCTTATAGATGCTACAATTTATCACCATTTAAATAAAGGAAGAGGAGGGAGGTCAAAAGTACATTTTATGCTCCAATTTCTATAAGTTTTTAACGAAAATCTATGTCACATAATGCCTCCGGGCCTTAGGGTTTTCATTGGTAAAATAAAATTACAAAACCATGATAAGTTTCTAAGGTCCACAGTAGATCTAAATTTTATGATTCTTTAATATTGTGATTAGTTATGGATAAGTGTTTGAGTTGACACAAGGTGATCTAGAGCTTAGAAGCATATGGAAACTGTCCATAAAGAGGTGAAACTGAAAACATGGAAAGGAAGAAAGGCATAAGATCATTCCATAAAGAAAGCAAGGGACAAAGCCTATGGACTGGAGTGGGGGAGAGAGTGTGAGTGAGTGAGTGAGTGAGTGAGTGAGTGAGTGAGTGAGCGGGCGAATGTGTGGACATGCACGGGTATGTGTGTGTAGGTGAGGGGCAGTCCAAGCATGCAGGAGCCCTGGGGGCAGGTGATTTGGGCTCTCCTGGCCAAAGAGCCCCTGCCACTGCCACAGGCATTCCCTGGGCCCCAGAACAGCTCTGGTTCAGAAACCATGCTATCATGAAAAGTTTGCAAGGTCCTTCTTGGAAGGAGGCTAAAGGGAGTGGCAGTGGCTAGTCACCCAGCCTCACCACCCCCAGACTAGCCGTGGCCTGGGCCTAAACCCATGGGCACCCTGCCCTAGGCCCCATGCCCATGTGCCCCAAGGACACAGCCCAGACCCTGTGCACGCCTGCCACAGACACCACTGGGACCCGTGCACCTGCAGTTGACACCTACAGGACCAGCTCTGTGGAGGAAGGCAGTACAGCTCAGAATAGAGATAATTAAGGTGTGAGACTCAAGGCAGGCCCAGCCTCTGGGCTAAGGAGTCCCTGCCAGCTGGACTACTAGGGGCTTCAACCTCTCAGACCTCAATCAGGTTGCCCAGGGCCAGAAAGAGATAGTGACTCACATTGACCTGCACCAGAGAAGCTCCAGGAGTCCCAGGATAGAAACACCAAGGGACCAGATTCAACAACATCAGAGCAAAATCCAGGGAGCTCCACAAATAATGGACCCAAAGTTTTTTGAGTGTGTGTTTGTGGTTTTGGTGGTTGTTTTTTTTTTTTTTTTTTGGGGGGGGGGGGGGGGGGAGTGTGTGTGTGTGTGTGTGTGTGAGTGGATTTTTTGTTTTTGTTTTTTGTTGTTGGTTTGTTTTTTCCCCTTGTTTTCTTTCTTCTCTTTTTCCTTACATATCTCTAATTTCTCTCTTTCCTTTGATTTTATTCTACTTTTATCTCTTTTCATTGTTATTAATTTTCCTTATTTTATTTTGTTTTTCTCATTGTTTTCCCCTTTTACTTTTCCTATCTATATCTTAATATACTTATTATTAATACTAGGGGTCTGGTGCACAAATTCATGCACAGGTGAGGTCCCTCTGGGTGACCTGCAGGGATCAGGCCAAAACCCACAGTCCAATGCCGCCTGCAGCTCCTAGCTGCTGCTCCCACTCATTCTGGCCCCACTGTGCCTGCCATGGGCTCCCACCCAATCAGTTCCTATTGGGAGAGGCTCACACTGCCACAGCAGCACTTGCCAGCCATGAGCCCTGCATCTGGTGCCCTCCTAAGGGAGTGACCTGCGGGATCGGACTAAAGCCAACTCTCTGATATCCCCCGAGGATTCCCAGATTGCGAGAGGGCGCAAGCCAGGCTGAAGGACCCCACCAGTGCATGATTGGGCTGGGTAGGGACTGCGGGAGGGCTCCAGGACATGTCCGGCCCATTTCGCTCAGCCCTGATCAGCTGGACCCCAGCAGCAAGCTAACCTACTGGTTGGAGCATCTGTCCCCTGGTGGTCAGTACAAGTCATAGCAACTGATTGGCTGTCTGCCCCCTGCTGGTCAGTGCACATCATAGAGAGCAGTTGAGCAGCCTTAGCATATCATTAGCATATTATGCTTTGATTGGCTGTTTGGTTGTTCTGCCGTTCAGTCTATTTGCATATTACCCTTTTATTATATAAGATGTTTTAAATACAATATTATTATTTCATTTATTTTCTTTTTTTTTACTTTCAAATACATAGCAATCATTTTATTTTCTTCAGACTATCTCTACTAAAGATTATCTTCTAGCAGTTGGCTTGTTACCTCATTTATTTTTTTTTAATTTTGTTTTATTGCTTAAAATATTACAAAGAGTAGTACATATGTCTCCTTTTTTTTCCCTGCTTGACCTTTCCCCGGCCTCCCCTACCCCTTAGTGTCTTGTATCCATTGGTTATGCTTGTATGCATGCATACAAGTCCTTTGATTGATCTCTTACCTCTCCCACCCTCCCCGGCCTTCCTGCTGTAGTTTGACAGTCTGTTCGATGCTGCTCTGCCTCTGTATCTATTTTTGTTCATCAGTTTATGTTGTTCATTATATTCCACAAATGAGTGAGATCATGTGATATTTTTCTCTGACTAGCTTATTTCGCTTAGCATAATGCTCTCCAGTTTCATGCATGCTGCTGCAAATGGTAAGAATTCCTTCTTTTTTACTGAAGTGCAGTATTCCATAACCTCAGAGGGAAGGTAGGGGAGGGCGGGGTTAAGGGGGAGAGATCAACCAAAGGACTTGTATGCATGCATATAAGCCTAACCAATGGACACAGACGCCAGGGGGGTGAGAGCATGAGGAGGGGGGGAATGGGGAAACTATGGGGGGGATAAGGACACATATTTAATACCTTAATCAATAAAGAGAAAAAAGAGAAATATAGGTTTGCCTGAGGAACATTCTAGAAAGATACATATCAAACACTTTTAATAAATGTTATAACTCAGGTGTAACTCAGATGAATTTTTTCTTTGTGTTTGCTTTTCTTACTTGTCTATGATGATTGCATTTAACTTATAAATGGAAAAAAATCTACAAAAGCAATGCCCCTTCAAAGTTACAAACCATAGCCTTCACCTATTTTACTCTAATGTAGCCCTTATTTGCTCCACACATTTTAAAATAAATAAATAGGGCAGATCACTTGTATATTTATATTCAACAGGCACATTTTGAGCACCTACTATATTCTAGGTACTATTGAATAAGTAATTTTACTTTATGTACCTAGATTCTTCTCTCTGCTCCTAAGTGTGATACCCACTCTTCCTCTCACACATAAATCACAACTATTTGCATTTGGTTGTTAAGTCTTATCTCTAATTAATTAAATGTAATTAAGCCCATATTAAAAGATTATCTGGCAATATACTACCAACCCTTGGCATGCCTCAGTGGTTTTAGGCTTAGGAGAGTCAATCAAATGTTTCATCAGTCACCACCTCTGTATTGCCCAACTCCTAAAAACAGAGTGCTGCTGGTCTGGAGTGGATTCTTCAAGTTTATTTCAAGCAGGGAGGGGCAGATCTCAAAACCTGGACCCTACTGGCCACCACCAACAAGTGAAAATTTTTCTACTTGTTAAATATTCCTTCTCCTGTCTTTCCCCCACCTTCCTTACTCTCTTTCTTTCTGGAGCTCTAATTCCTAATCCTAATCCTAATCCTCCCTTCTGTTATAGGTGTATTAGATGGTGTGATTTTAGAACTTATTCTAACTAAATCTCCTCTTCTCCCTCTAGCCTTTCAGCCATCTATATATATAAAAGCTTAAGTGACCATTGACCATTCTACCAGTAGCTATGACACACACTGACCACCAGGGGGAAGATGCTCAATGCACAGGATGGAAACACGGAATAGAGCAGCCGTTCTCAACCTGTGGGTCGGGACCCCTTTGGGGGTCGAACGACCCTTTCACAGGGGTCGCCTAAGACCATCGGAAAACACATATATAATTACATATTGTTTTTGTGATTAATCACTACGCTTTAATTATGTTCAATTTGTAACAATAAAAATACATCCTGCATATCAGATATTTACATTACGATTCATAACAGTAGCAAAATTACAGTTATGAAGCAGCAACGAAAATAATTTTATGGTTGGGGGTCACCACAACATGAGGAACTGTATTAAAGGGTCGCAGCATTAGGAAGGTTGAGAACCACTGGAACAAACTGATGAATCTCAACGGGAAGGGGGGAGGAGGGAGGGCGAGAAAAGATTAAGCAAAGATCTTATATGCATACTAGAGGCCCGGAGCATGTATTCATGCACTGGTGAGGTCCCTCAGCCTGGCCTGCAGGGATAGGGCCAAAACCAAATCTGTGCACCAGGCCTCTAGTGTATGTATAAATCAACAGAACACAATGGGGCTTGATTTTCCACAGCCAGGATAACTTCCTAGAGGGGATGGGAAACAGCTGCTCACCTGTCCAATGAGATGGAGAAGAGGGTACTCCAGCAGCAATGAACTGTCAAGGGGTGTGTGGGGGCATGGGTGGGGGGAGAGCAAAACTCTCCTCTCTACTCTCTTTATTGTGAGGCAAGATCCACTTGGTAACATGAAGGCTAAACTCTTCCTGGTACCACTGAAAACAGCACCGGCACTGTTTATAAAGACAGGATTAAAAAGTGGTTTTAGAAAATTAAAATTGGCCCTAGCTGGATGGCTCAGTTGGTTGGAGCTTCCTTCACACGCTAAAAGGTTGCTGGTTCCATCCCAATGGGGGTATAGTAGGGAGGCAACTCATTAATGTTTCTCACATCAATGTTTCCCTCTCCCTCTCTCTTCCTCTTTCTCTCTAAAATCATTAAAAACATATTTTAAAAAAAGAAAAAACAACACGAAAAAACCCATATCCTCTGGTGAGGATTAAAAAAAAAAAATAAGACTGAAAATACATAATTTGGCCACATCACCATAATACTGATCAGAGTTTAAAGAAGAATAAATAACATTTAGCAAGACAATTTACTAGCACAGGGGCCAGCACTAATATTAGTATCACTAATACTGTGCTAGGCAACTGTAAGACAAATCAGTTGCAGAGGAAGAATGGATTGTATTTGATGGCAGTAGCCACCACTGTCCAGGAATGCTGCCTTCCTGTGGTTGCCATGAGTGCCATCGCCTGACATTTTTGGTGAATTAGAAGAGCAGTACCTGAAAAATCCGATTTGACATGCACCTCTGCGAACCTCCGCAAGAAAACGAGGAGGGTAGCGATTCACAAAGCCCTGAGGTCTAGACCCTGGGTGGTGGCAACGCCAGAGTATGGTCATCACCTCTTCTCAAGAGAAGGGTGTCCAGACTGCGCATCAGCGGAATCCCTCTCCAGACTCTGCCCAGAGCCAAGGGCAGCCCTTCCCTCAGCAGCTTTGGGAACCCAGCTCACCTTCAGGCAACAGCCCACGCTCCAGAAAGGAAGGAAAGAAGAAAGAACCAGCTCACTGAGGCCCACACAAACCCCGCGGTCATTATTGCCCTGCGTTCCCCAAGTCGCCTAGACAACCCAGACCGGCCCCACCCACAGCAACTTAGACCAATCAGGGACAGGCAGAATATGTGAGAGCCTCCCAAAGAGGCTCCGAGGGGGAATCCTGGGGACCTGAAAGCACAACCACGCACCCAAATGACAGCCACCTAGATGGCCAGGAAGACAACTGGCAGAACCTGTACAAAACGGAGGCAGATAACCAGACTGATCTCAGAACAGCTAACCAGGATGACCTAAGAGTATCTGGCCAGTCTGAACCCAACGTATTTGGCCAAGCAGACCACAAAGTGTCCAAATACAATAGGCACAGAAGATACGATCAGACTGACCTAAAGTGTCCAACCGTTATAAAGTTGCTGATCATAGAGGAACTAATAAGGTTGACCAAAGAATGTCTGAACGGAGAAACAGCAGGACATCTCGCCACGCGAGTCATGCAGAATCTGAACGGACTAACAGTCAGAAGCCTGTTCGGCCCAAAGGACTAACTTCTGAACACACTGATCGCAGACCATCCGGCCATGCTGAGAGCGCTTCTAAACAGACTGACCGCACATCGTCTGTCTCATCTGAACGAAGAGCCTCTGAACAGACTGGCCACAGAAAGTCTGGCCAATATGATCGAAGAAGTTCTGAACCGATTGACCATATGAAGTCTGGCCAAGATGACCGAAGGGTTTCTGCACCGATTCAACCCAGAGAGTCTGGCCAAGATGACCAAGCGGCTTATGACCTGATTGACAGCAGAAAGTCTGGTCTGGTTGAACAAAAAACTTATCAACTGGGTGAACATAGATTGTCTGACCCAATTAGCTACAAATCATCTGTAAAGACTCACCACAAAGCACCTGACCAAATTACTGAACTAGCTGAAGACCAGGCAGCTGAAGACCAAGCTGGTGGCAGCATTCATCAACACCCTAGAGTTATCATGCCTCTCTATCGTGAGTATGAAAAGGTGGAAGATGAAGATGAAGACATAGATGACGACCAGCCTGACCTTGGAGAAAGTGATGAGTATGATGACAAAATACATACCAGCAAGAAGGGCAAAGAAGTTGACTATACATTAGATTCTAAACAAAAAGATTTCAGAGATTCCAAGGTTTCAGATATAAATAAATATAAAAATGATGAATTTATGAAAGCATTCAACGCATTTGATACCAAGGTCACCGGTAATTTACAACCACAAAACCACAACTTTTCCCCAAGATTCCCCTCCATCTCATCTAAAGTGAACTATACCATCGGTCAAGAAAATGGTCAAATCATAGTAACCAAGCCTGTAGGTTAAAGGGGCATTTGATACCCACCTGGGAGGTTGGAAGCCAAGCTAGGGGCCTATAATGGTGGTATGGAGGGCGGAGGTTGGGCACAGGTTGAATCAAGGATGAGAAATAAACCCACATGCTATGATATGTGTGACCTATAAGATTCAGGAAGGACAGGAGAAGGATAGGATATATAGAGATGAGTTGCTTTCTCTGCTACCCTAGGGCTATTCAGGAATGATCAATGAACCAGCATTCAGGAGACCTGGGTTTCAAATCCTGGTTCTGCTGCTAATTCTATAACACTAAGTCACTTCCCCTCTCTAGGCTTCTACCAAAGAAAAGGAATTGGAAGTAAACTGGAGATCCCTATGAAGGGAAAAATAGTTGAAGTAGATTGGAGCAGCCTAAGGTACCTCCCAGGACTTGAGATATATTATATTGCCTGGAGGATCAGCTAGATCTCTCATAATAATGTGTCTTTTTTCCAACTCCTGGTGTTTAGATCCCATCATCACCAGATTCTTCTGATAACAGCAAAAATAAGAACTTCCTGGGGCTTTTTGATTTATTAAAGACTCTTTGGTGGGGGGATATTTCCATTTTAGGATAATACTTCAGGATACCAAGAAGGAAGGAGTTCTATTCAATACCAAAAGAAGCGATTTCCTTCTCTCGTATATCAAGATCCGTATCAAATTTCACTACAATACATGGAGAAACACCACATTCTGCAAATATTCCAGGTAAACCTCTCATTCCCTTTCTTTAATTGTGATTTTTCTAGTAATTATAATGTAAAAAACAAACTTTGACCTGGTTTCCATGTGGTATAAGAAAGAGCCTTTGATAATACAAAGGATATAATCTCATTGAGAAGTCAGTAAGATGTATTTTTTAAAAAGTAGTAAATGATAAACACCAAATGAGTGATACTTACCATGTATGAAGCCATTCAGAAGGATTGGGTAGATTGGTTGATAGGAAAAAAACTTCGCAAAGAGTTAAAAGTTTGAGAAAGACTAGGAAGGAAGAACAAAATATTGGCCATTGAAAAGGAAATAAAAAAGATTTCCAGGCATCATATAATACTTTCAAAAGATAACCAACCTGCGACCATCTAAGAAACCACATTGCTTGGCTGGAAGGGGGGCGGGGGAGGGGGAGGGGGGTGGGGGGAGGGTGTAGAGCGTGAGTAGTTAAGAGTTGCTTCTAATTATAAAAATTTTGAGCCGTATTGACCTCAGGATTTGGGGCTGAAACGTCTTTAAAGTATAACATCCTTGCCCAGCCAGTGTGGCTGAGTGGATTGAGTATTGTCCCATGCACCAAGAGGTTGCTGGTTTGATTCCCAGTCAGGGCATATATTCTGGGGTTGTAGATTCTATCCCCAGTAGGGGTCATGCAGGAGGCAGCTGATTGATGTTTCCATCTTCTCTCCCTCTCCCTCTTCTCTCTCTAAAAAATCAAGATAAACATTTATTTTTTAAAGTATAACATCCTTGGCCAATATAGAATTACAATAAATTATCACATTTATAAAATGTTTACTGTTTGGTGGGTCGTTTTTGTTTACCTGACATGTTTATTTTTATGTTACTATTATTACCCAGCAAAGTACATATCCTATCTAATAAAAGAGAAACGTGGTAATTAGCCGTACATCCGCTACCCTTCCCATTGGCTAATCAGGGCGATATGCAAATTAACTGCCAACCAAGATGGCGGCTGGTAGCCAGGCAGCTTGAAGCGAACATGAGGCTTGCTTGCTTCAGTGATGGAGGACTCCAACGTTCCCCGCCTGCCTTGCCGGCCTCTGAGCTTGCAGTTTGAAACATTGTCACAAATATAGAAGCTAAACAAAACCCCAGAAACCTGCTTTCAGCCAGCCAGGCCTCAGAGCTGGAGTTGAAACAGTGTTTCAATTATAGAACCCAAACAAACCAGATACCTGCTTTCAGCAGCGGAGGCCTAAGAGCTGGAGCCAAGCCTCAGAGCTAAAGTTGGCCCAGAAGAAAAAAAAAAAAAAAAGGAGCGGTTGGGAGCTTCAGTCACCCGCCAGCCTGAAAACAGCCCTCAGCCCCTCACCCAGACTGGCCAGGCACCCCAATGGGGACCCCCACCTGAAGGGTGTGTGACCAGCTGCAAACAGCCATCATCCCCTCATCCAGGCTGGCCAGGCACCCCAGTAGGGACCCCTACCCTGATCCAGGACACCCTTCAGGGCAAACCAGCTGGCCCCCACCCATGCACCAGGCCTCTATCCTATATAGTAAAAGGGTAATATGCCTCCCAGCACCGGGATTAGCGGAGCCACGAGGCCTCCCAGCACCGGGATCAGCGTAACAGGGGGCAGCGCCCAAACCCCCTGATTGCCCTGCGGCTCTGTGTATGACAGGGTGCGGGGCCACAACCTCCCTATCCGCCCTGCTCTGTTCGTGACAGGGGAAGGTGCCCCAACCCCCTGATCAGTCCTGCTCTGTGCCTGATAGGGGGGGCTCCCCAACCCCCTGATCGCCCTGAAGCTCTGTGTGTGACAAGCTGCGGTGCCCCAACCCCCTGATCGGTCCTGCTCTGTGTGACAGGGTGCAGCGCCCCAACACCCCCCTCCCACGGGCCCTGCTCTGTGTGTGACAGGGTAGAGCCTCAACCTCCCCATCAACCCTGCCTTGAGTGTGACAGGGGATGGTCCCCAACCCCCCAATCGGCCCTACCCTGAGCGTGACTGAGGGTGGCATCGCAACCTCCCGATTCGCTCTGCTCTGTGCATGACAGGGGGTGGCGCCCCAATTCCCCAATCGGCCCTGCTCTGAGCCCGACCAGGGGCTGCACCTAGGGATTGGGCCTGCCCTCTGCCACCCGGGAGCAGGCCTAAGCCAGCAGGTTGTTATCTCCCGAGGGGTCCCAGACTGCAAGACGGCACAGGCCGGGCTGAGGAATCCCCCCACCCCCCGAGTGCACAAATTTTTGTGCACCGGGCCTCTAGTCTATCATAATAAAAACACAATATGCTAATTAGACTGGATGACGTTCTGGATGAAGCTGGGGCTGCTGGGGTCCCAGGTGCCTGCTGGCAGCCAGAGGGAAGCCCGGGTCCCAGGTGCTGGAAGGAAGGCCTACTCTTGCACAAATTTCGTGCATCCGGCCTCTAGTTCATATATAATATGTGAGTACATGAAATAACTTTGTGGTTAGAAAGGTGTAAAATAAGAATGACCCACCTCAAATGAAAACATTTAAACTTAAATTTAAAGTAATAGGGTGTAGAACAGTGGTTCTCAACCTTCTGGCCCCCTAAATACAGTTCCTAAAGTTGTGACCCAACCATAAAATTATTTTCATTGCTACTTCATAACTGTAATGTTGCTACTGTTATGAATCATAATGTAAATATCTGATATGCAGGATGGTCTTAGGCGGCCCCTGTGAAAGGGTCGTTCAACCGCCACAGGGGTCACGACCCACGGGTTGAGAACTGCTGGTGTAGAAGAAAGATCACAAACTGCAAATTTAGCTCAAGGTTCCAATCTAACTTAGCCATTTTTCATCTTTGTTATTTGGAAAAAACTACATAAACTTCTGTGAAGCTTAGTTTCCTCATATAAAATAGGAGTAAGTGATACTTCATTAACTCTGCTCTATGCCTTTTCTTTGTTAAGATATTGTTTTGTGGGAGAGCACTTTCTGCCTTTGATCAAAGAACAATTAATTACTAAACTGAAGGAAGTAAAATTCTAATCATTCTATAAATAATTTCCTTCATCTATTAAGAAAAAATAATGCTTATGCATTCAACATTGTTATAAGAAAAATTAGTTATCAAATGATTATTTAATAAAAACATATTTGAAATATACTAGAGACCCGGTGCACAAAAATTTGTGCACTCAGGGGGGTCCCTTAACCCCACCTATGCCCTCTTGCTGTCTGGGACCCCTTGGAGGATGTCCACCTCTGGCTTAGGCCCACTTCCTGGGGGATCGGGCCCAAGCCGGCAGTCTGACATCCCTCTGGCAGCCCGGCAGCCCTCGGGGGATGTCCACTTACCAGCAGGGAGCAGACCTAAGCTGCAGTCAGACATCCTTAGTGCTGCTGAGGAGGCGGGAGAGGCTCCCGCCACCACTGCTGTGCTGGCAGCCATCAGCCTAGCTTGTGGCTGAGCAGAGCTCCCCCTGTGGGAGCGCACTGACCACCAGGGGCAGCTCCTGCATTGAGCATCTGCCTCCTGGTGGTCAGTGTGTGTCATAGTGACCAATCATTCCCAGTCGTTCTGCTGTTAGGGTCAATTTGCATATTACCCTTTTATTATATAGGATAATTGGTGTAAATACATTAAACAGACCATGACTATCTTACAACTAAAATTTGCCTCATTGTTATTTCTTACAAATGATAATTGTTTATTATAACTTGGAGGGTTATTCAACAACAAAAAAGTATGGTAGTGAATCTCTGAAGTTTTATGTATGCTTGCTCATTTATTATTAGAAACAATGAACATCATTTTAACCTTTTAGACTTAAAGGCCTCTAAAGGAAGGCTCTATGTGAAATCATAATATTTTAAAATTTTATTCAAAGTACTTTTTTCTGTTAATTCTTCAGAGCAAATAATGCTAATTTCTCAGTCTAGCAAAATCACAGTTCTCAGAACTAAAACTTTCTCACTACCTCTTTGATCTTGGAAACTAGAGAAATATCCATTGATACTTATTACTAAAACTAGAGGCCCAGTGCACAAAATTTGTGCACTTAGTGGGGTCCCTCAGCCCAGCATGCACCTTCTTGCAGTCTGGGATCCCTCAGGGGATGTCTGACTGCTGTCTTAGGCCCACTCCCCTTAGGCCCTGGGAGTGGGCCTAGGCCGGCAGTCAGACATTTTTAGCACTGCTGCGGAGATGGGAGAGGCTCCGTCACCACCACTGCGTTTGCCATCTGTGAACCCAGCTTCTGGCTGAGCAGTATTCCCCCTGTGGGAGTGTGCTGACCACCAGGGGGCAGCTCCTGAGTTGAGTGTCTGTCTCCTGGTGGTCAGTGTGCGCCATAGCAACCAGTTGTTCTGTCAGTTGGCCAATTTGCATATTAGCCTTTTATTATATAGGATTATATTCCTCCAAATTTTACCTAATTTTATTAGTACTAAGAAAATAATTTGTCACTTTATGAAGACATATGAATTTTTTTAAAATGGTATGTACATGTTAGTACAAAAGATTGTTTCAGATATAACCTGATCATATAACTTTAGCTCAGAACCATAATGTGATGTCTTATGCTCTCTCAGCAGATCACTGAAAACTTAGTTTATGAAAAGCCAGAGGACCCCCTGAGTTTTATGCTGAGCCAGGTATGCAATAGGAGAAAAAGAGAAATCTTTTTATTATAAATAAAGCACACATACAAGTGTATAAAACAAAACATGTACAACTCAGTGAATTATCATGAAATGAGCAAACCTATAACTACCATTTCAGTTAAAAAAATTAAAACATTTCCAACATCCCAGAAGCTTCCTTCCTTTCTCTCAGTTATTATTCTTTACGAGTTGCTATTATTCTGACTCTTTTGCTATTATCTTCCTCACTTACCTTTATAATTTTACCACTAAACAAAAATCATGAAAAACTTTTTTTTAGATTTCTCAACTTTATATACTGGGAACCATATAGAGGTATTCATTTGTTTCTAGTTACTTTTGCTCAAAATTATGTCTGTGAGATTAATACATACTGTTGTGTGTAACTATAGTTGATTTTCATTGCTGTATAGTTTTCACTGTATGAAATGCCACAATTTATTCATTCTATGATGGATGTGAATATCTAGGTTATTTCTAGCTTGTAACAATTAGAAAATTTTTTCCTATGAAGCTTTGTGTACATGTCCCTTAGTGCACATATACTAGTACACACATTTCTCTTGAGTACATACCCTGTGAGTGATTGCTGGATTATAACATATGTGCTTGCTCAGCTCTAGTATATTATTTCAAAAATTTTCCAGCCCTAGCTGGTCTGGCTCAGTAGATAGAGTGTCAGTCTGCGACTGAAAGATCCCAGGTCTGATTCCAGTCAAGGGCATATGCCCAGGTTGCAGGCTCGATCCCCAGTAAGAGGTGTGTAAGAGGCAGCCAATCAACGATTCTCATCTTTGATGTTTCTAACTCTCTCTCTCTCCTTTCTCTCTGAAATCAATTTAAAAAATTTTTTTCCAAAGTATTTGTACCAATTCATACTCCCAACAGAAGTGTATATTAGTGTTCCAGTTGTTTTACATCCTTGCCTAGACTATAAGACTATATCCAACAGTTAGTATTATCAATCTTTTTAGCATTAGCCATTTTTATGGGTGGTTAGTAATAAATTATTGTAGTTTCCAGTTGTTTGTTCCTGATTACTAAAATTGTTGCATGTATTTTAATTTGTTTATTAGCCATGTGGAAGTATTTCTTTTCCCATTGTATCAATAGTCTTTTTATTTTTATTTTAACTCATTTGTAACTGTTTCTGTCTATTCTGGTTGTGAAATCTTTGTTGATTTTGTTTGTGACAAGTCTTATCTTACTCTCTGCCTTCCCTTTTTACTTCTTACAGGTATTTTTTATAAACAGAAATTCTTAATTTTGATATAGTCAAATTTTAACAATCATTTTATTTATGATTAGTACTACTGGTGTTCTGTCATAGACATCTCTCCTTTGCCAAAGCTCCTAACCATAGTCCCCTATATTATCTTGTAGAAATTTGTTAGTGGGGTTTTCTTAGGGAAGGCGTTAGATTTTGTTTGTTGGTTGACATTTACATTAATATGCAATCAACCTGCAATTGATTTTGTACAGGATGTGAGGTGGTGGCGTTTCATTTTTTTCCCAAGTAAACATCCAATTGACCAAACATCTTTTGTAAAACAAACAAAAAACCCATACCTTTCACACTGCTCTTTATTTGGTATATTTGTCAATTCTTGCTCTAATACAAGACTATCTTAATTAGTATGCCTTACAATAAGTCTTAATATCTGTCAGAGTTAAGTTCTCATATCTTATTGTTTAAAATACCTTGGATGTTTTTAGGTGCATGTCCATATCATTATTTACTTATTTATTTTATTTTTTTTTATATATTTTTATTGATTTCAGAGAGGAAGGGAGAGGGAGAGAGAGAGATAGAAAAATCAATGATGAGAGAATCATTGATTGGTTGCCTCCAGCACAGCCCCTACTGTGGATGGAGCCTATAACCCTGGCATGTGCCCTTGACCGGAATCAAACCCAGGACCCTTCAGTCCACAGGCTGATGCTCTATCCACTGAGCCAAATTGGCTAGGGCTCCATTTCAGAATTTAGAATTAGTTGTCAAGTTATAGAAATGAAAGAACAGGATAAAACTCCAGAAAAAGAACTAAACAAAATGGAGACAAGCATCTATCAGACGAAGAGTGCAAATGAACTTGATAGAAGAAAAGATATAGTGAGAACTTCAACAAAAAGACAGAAAACACTAAAAAGGCTATAGAAAACATAAAAAAGAACCCATCAGAATGGAAGAATACAATAAAGAATACACTAGATGGAATCAACAATAGGTTAGATAAGCACATAATTGAACCATCAATCTGAAAGACAATGTAATGGAAAACACCCAACTGGATCAGCAAAAAGAAACAATTTTTTAAAATTAGAATAGTATTTTTTAAAACTATGGAACAGCATCAGGCATAACAACATTTACATCATAGGAGTCCCAGAAGAGAAGAGAAAGAAAAAGGAATTGAAAACCTATTTGAAGAAATAATGACTGAAAACTTCCCTAACTTGGCAAATGAAATAGACATACAAGTCCATAAAGCACAGAGATCCCAAACAAGATGAATCCAAAGGCACCCACACCAAGACACATCACAATTAAATGTCAAAAGTTAAAGTCAAAAAGAGAATTTTAAAAGCAGCAATTGAAAAATCAGTATGTACAAAGAAGTACCCATAAGACTATCAGAAAACCTTTCAATAGAAACTTTGTGCCCAGAAGGGACTGGCAAGAAATATTCAATGATAAAAGGCAAAAACCTAGAATGGGGCTAAGTGAAATGCTGAAATTTAGCAAAAGATAGGAGATAATGTAGACTATCACCCACTGTAAATGTTTGCAAAGAAATATATTTTAAATATGGAAAGACATATAACAATGCTGGTTAATTAGACAGTAGACCCAAAGCCCTTATATTTGATGCATTTTTATATATGGTTTCATAATTCTGTCTGTTTAAATGTGTACTATTATTTCTTTTTCTTGATTTCATTTAGTTATATACATTCCTGATCATCTGATTATTTATTTTCCTTATAAAAATACATCATCAAAATAAAAAAAATGGTTGAGGTCAAAGGAAGGAAGGAAGGAAGGAAGGAAGGAAGGAAGGAAGGAAGGAAGGAAGCTACAACCAAGATTACTCTACCCAACAAGCTTATCATGCAGTATCCAAGGAGAGATAGTTTCACAGACAAGCAATAAGGAAAAAAGTTCATCACCATTAAACCAGTTTTACAATAAATGTGAGAGGGATTTTCAGTAGAAAGAAAATACCAAAAATAGAAATAAGAATATATAGGGCCCTGGCCAGTGTTGCTCAGTAGTAGAGCATTGGCCCACAAACTGAATGGTTGCAGGTTCTATTTCCCACCTCCAGTTGGGGCAGGTGTGGGAGGCAACCAATCAATGTGATATATCTCCCTTCTCTCCCTTCTCTCTCTTCTCTCTCTCTCTCTCTCTCTCTCTCTCTCTCTCTCTCTCTCTCTCTCTCCTTCCCTCTTTCCCTCTCTTCCACTCTCTAAAAAATAAATGGAAAAATATCATCAGGTGAGGATTAACAAAAAAATATATATGAAAGAAAAAATTCTCACTGGCAAAAGCAAATAGTAATAGCAGTTGATCAAACAATTTTAAAGTTAGTACAAAGATTAAAAGGCGAAAATAGGAAGATCATGTGTAAATACAACAATAGTTAAGGGGTAAACAAATACACACCAAAAAAGAGAGAAAAATGACAAAAAATAAACATTGAGGAGATGAGTAAAAACATGTAGTGATTTTACATGGAGACTAAATAGCATGCTATTAAACAATGGCTGGGTTACCAGAGAGATCAAAGAAATAAATAAAAAATATCATGGCAACAAACAACAATGAAAACACAACAATCCAAAACCTATGGGACAAAGCGAAAGCAGTCTTGAGAGGGAAGTTCATAGCTCTACAAGCCTACTGCAAAAAAAACCAAGAAACAATGATAATAAATTACCTAGCCCTACAACTCAAAGAGCTAGAAATAGAGCAACAAGAAAAGCCCAGTGTAAGCAGAAGGAAGGAAATAATAAAGATCAGAGCGGAGATAAAAAACATAGAGACCAAAAAGAAAAAAAACAATACAAAAGATCAACAAAACCAAGAGCTGGTTCTTTGAAAGGATAAACAAGATTGATACAACTCTAGCCAGGCTCACCAAGAAACAGAGAGAGGACCCAAATAAACAAAATCAGAAATGAAAGAGGCAAAATAACAACAGACCCCACAGAAATACAAAGGATTGTTAAAAAATACTATGAACAACTCTACTCCAACAAACTAGACAACCTGGAGGAAATGGACATATTCCTAGAAAAATACAACATTCCAAAACTTAATCAGGAAAAATCTAAAAATCTCAGTAGGCCAATAACTATGGAAGAAATTGAAGCAGTCATCAAAAAGCTTCCAGCAAACAAAAGCCCAGGACCAGACGGCTTCACAGGGGAGTTTTACCAAACATTCAAGGAAGAACTAAAACCTATCCTCCTCAGACTACTACAAAAATCCAAGAGGAAGGAACACTTCCAAGCTCATTCTATGAAGCCAGCATCACCCTAATACCAAAACCAGGTAAAGACAACACAATGAAAGAGAATTACAGGCCAATATCCTTCATGAACGTAGATGCCAAAATCCTCAACAAAATCCTAGCAAATCAGATCCAGCAGTACATCAGAAAGGTCATACACCATGACCAAGTAGGTCTTATCCCAGGGATGCAAGGATGCTACAATATCTGCAAATCAATAAATGTAATACATCACATAAACAAATTGAAAGATAAAAACCATGTAGTCATATCAATTGATGCAGAAAAAGCATTTGACAAAATCCAACACCCTTTCTTGATAAAAACTCTCAGCAAGGTAGGAATAGAAGGATCATACCTCAATATAATAAAAGCCATATATGACAAACCTACAGCCAACATCATAATTAATGGGCAAAACTAAAACCATTTTCCCTAAGAACAGGAACAAGACAGGGATGCCCCCTCTCACCA